TACTATCCGGATTGAAGCACTAACCTCTACTTACGAAGCACTAAAGAATGATATATATTTCATCGTTAGTGCTTCCAATCGACTTTTAAGCGTGAAGTTGGCACAAATTTTTATTTTTGCTTATAACTTTTTTTCCTTAAATTCGGCTACTAAACGGATTGAAGCACTAACAAGCACTAACGAAGCACTAAAAAATGATATATAATTCATCGTTAGTGCTTCCAATTGTTCGGCCAACTTCACGGACCTAACATAATAAACTACTTGATATTTAACAAATTAAAACTATGCATTGCATGGGCTTATTTTAGAATGTCATAAATATTAAATGAATTTATATGAAGGTCATAAATGAATAGATTTTTTTTTAAAAAAATCAAGAAAACATATTTTAAGGAATAACATAAATATTTTGCATTATATAATTTTAAGAAAATTTAAACAGATTAATTAAATGCCATACACCTGTCATAAGACCCATTTTAGGTTGCACAATCCCGCTAATGAATTTCTGTCCTGCGAAGGATAACAATGTTCCGCGAAATTGAGAAAATTAAAAAATTCCTTTAAATGGTCACAAATTTTAAAATTTCATAAAATCTTTAGTTTATTTATGAATTATATAAAATAAATTAATATATAAAAAATAGATGTAATTTATTCAATATTTTATTCAATATTTATATTTATCCTGCTAAACTTTGGGCACAATATCAGCAGGGATTTTACGGTCCAATTATAAAATCTTCTTTAAATAAGTGTTCTGACATAAACAAAATTAATGTATATAAATAAGTAGCTCAGAACTATTTAAAAATCATTATCCAATACAGTGGTTCCTACACTTTCTGAGCGTTGGAAGCAGAATACCCCCTGAAAAGTATCATTAATTTTAATAATAAACAGTTAATTTGAATATAAAATTTGTAAAGGTAAAGGTTTAAATTATAATCAAATTAAATGATAATTATATGAAATAATTATCTGGTATGTAAATTTTAGTGATGTATATATAGTGAATGCGAAAATGTATTAAGGAAGAAAAAGAAAAATGCTAGTTTTATAATTTATACTTTATTATTTTGATTTTATATTTCTACGTTTTAGTTTTATTTATATTATGAATAATTTTGATTAAATATATATTTTATTAACTTAATTTGTCATCTTCAATTCTTGATTTTAATAATTAGTAGTAATTGAATTTAACATAAAGTACCTCCACGAAAAAAAGAGTTCTTTATTTTTTGGCACCCTTTTGGTAGTACATGAGATAGTAGGAATGGTTAATAAATATTTATATAAAATTGATAAATTAGGAAAAGCAGAAAATTTTTAAAGTAAACGATAATGTAAAATAAACAAATGATTTTTCCAGTCTGAATCAAAAATCTCGGAATCATCAGAAGAAGAAGCGAATAATGTTTTAATATAAATATTTTAATATCTCAGAATCTGACAAATTTATAGACTCTTTAAACTCCAGGTCATGTGTAATAATTAAATCCCTCGTTTTAGCCATAATATAAATATTTAGAAACTTAGACTTTTTCAAAAACTTGACTGTAATTATTGGTAAATTTCACAGTTATCCTCATCTCAATATCATTACTACGAATGTCTTCTTCGCCATTCTTTTTGGTGTGTTTTTAAATTTTATCGATTCCTCATTGCTTTTATTAAAATGCATAATGTCAAATCAAGTACAGCATAAACTGGTTTTATAGCTAAAATAAAATATATTTAATAATGAAAGTATATACATCTCCTTTTTGGAAGGTAATGTTTGAAGTCTATAACTTAAAATCCAAAGGCAGATTTCTCCCCTTCATATAATCTTGTGCCTTTGAAAAAACATTCAAAAGTTCACTTTTATTATCTATCAGGATTAAAAAATAATACAAGACAATAATTTAAATTATATTTATCAAATTAATTAGGCAATCTTTTGCCAATTAAATTATATTTATTGCAAATCCTATATCCTTAGAAATGATTTGCAATTTTATACAAGCCAAGCTTTTTATCTACAATATTTTATCCAAAACGGAAAGTGCACTAATTATGGTAGAAGTGGCAGAATCTTTAGAATCCCTTAAATTTTTCAAAGTTGCCCTATAAAGTAGAAAAATTTTATAATAGCTTTATATGATAATAGCCGGCTTCTATAAATATAAAATAAACATGTTAAATCTAAACAAATAAGATAATATTACCGAGTGGTATTCTTGATGCATAATGTGATTTTGTCAGTAGATCACTCTAACATGCTTTAGCACTGTATATCTTTTAACATCATTGAAATACACGTGAATCTAATATAAGTTCCCTAAAATAATTCTATTATCAATTGGCATAATTGAACAATGATGATTTAATAGATGATAATAGCACCAAATAAAAGCTGCTCTAATAGAAGCCTGTACTTCTATGATCCTTCCACTCATGTTTAAAGCACAATCTTAGCTTTGCCCAACTACGAATTCGAGAGGTAGCTTCATAGAACTAAGTTAGCATATTATATCTTTTAATATCAAGACCAGTGTTACTATTTTTAATATATCTTACTAACAAAACTATTGCTTCTGATTTAGAAACATCATATGTACCATCAACTATAATTGAAAAACACCTCTTAAATTTATTCTCTTTCTTAATATTTTTATAACCATATTTTTCATGGTTTCAATGAGAATATTTATATTATTATACGACAATAGATTAGAATATAATTTGGATTGTAATTTTTTTCTCCCTTTTTTTTCTCTTCATTTTTTTGAAATACAATTTGACACATGTTCCGAATTTCCAATTAGTTAAGTCTTTAAAAGCTACTATTCAAAGCTTTTATTTATATCAAAATTATGCCTACCATGTCTTTTTCTATTATGGTCTGTCCATTTAGCGTCTCTTATATTATGCATTATGCAATTATTAATTAAGCATTTAGATTTTTTTGCTAAATTTTTGGGCATATTTTGAAATTGGAGAAGAAATTTTTTGGATATGGATGAGTGTGGTAAAACAAAAAATTAAATTAAAAAAATATTCAAATTTTAAGAAGCAATTGTTCCAACCCTCCCTTTTCTCCCCCATTATAGGGAGCCACTGATCCAATATATTGAAAAAGGATATAATTCATAAGATTAATATAAATTTATTAAAGTTATATATGACATTTAATGATACAATCAAGTTCGAATTGAAAGAATTGTAGATAGCTATAAACTTAAAAATGTAAATGACTATTATATGCAGAATTTGTTATACTCTCCAAATTCTTCAAAACTGTTTATCAGATTTATTTCATCAAAAAAATAGATGGAATTTAACTCTAATCAAGCAATAAACTTGGAAAAAATATGTTATACATATTCTCAATTCCCCACTCAAATGCGGCCTCAGAGAGAATTTTTAGTTAATGAATAAGTTTTAGTAAAAAAATAATTTTCGTTTTCATTCGATTTTTTAGAAGCCGGATTGATGGTAGAGCAGAATTTTAACATGAATTGTGAAGAGTTGAAATTTATTTTCGAAGATAAACTATTTAATTTTTTTTTATATTTTGACTTAGTAAATATATTCAAATAAATATTCATAAAATTCGTAATTAGACAAAAAAGATAACCAATAGAGATGTTAAGGAGCGCTCCTGGAGCGCCGCTACATTTTTTCAATTTTAAAAATGAGGAGCGGGAGCTAGCTCCTTTTAGTGCTGTAGTGGGGGAGCATCGCTCCACCGCTCCTTTAAATTTAAGGTATAAATTAAATTATTTTTTAAATATTAATAAAGTTTTTTAATTAAAATTCAATACAAATGAAATTTTATTTAATTTAAATTTATCCATTAATAAATGTTGAACCGAGTTTTATATTGGTTTTTCATCTAATCATTTTAAATATTAAACGTCAAGTTTTTCATTTTTATATTGAAAATTTTTGGAAAACCTTGTAATTCATATTAATATTCATTTTATCGATATATAATAAAAAACAGTTTTAGATATTATGGATTTAGAGATCATAGAAGAAGAAATCGAATTTCCATTTCCATCATACAAAAAAATATTTTAAACTTCTAAAAGATGTTGATCCAAATGATCAAACAAATTTAAGGGCAAAATGCCTTTTGTATTTAAGTAAAAGTATTTCCTTTTCAAAAGTGAGCAGCTTTAATCTAAAAAAGCATTTAAAAGTAAAAAAACCTTTCTTTTAAATACAAAATGATAACTATATTTTTTTTAATTTTGGAATAATTTTTTTAAAAATGGTTATAATTATTTTTGGGCAATTCATTATAGTTGAGCCTGGGTTGTTAGATATGATGCTTTTTTAAATATATTTTAATATTTATTTTAATTTTCTCATTACTTGTTCAACCTCCTTTTTTATACCTGAATTAAAAAATATCTTTATAAAATACAATACCCCGCATCCCTCTAGTGCTCCTGTGGAGCGCTTATTTAGTATTGCAAAACAGGTCATAGGGGAGAAGCATGGATGTTTTTTAGATTCTAATTTAGAAAATTTATTACTTTTAAAGGCTAATAAAAGATTATAAATTTTTGATAGATCATTTAATATAAATAAAACCTTTTGATAAAAAATATGATTTTGTTTCGCATACCTTCTAAAAAAATGAAAATCAAAGGAGCGGTTATGGAGTGGCGCTCCATTACTTGGAGCAGGAGCTAGCTCCTTTTAAAAATTTAGTAACGGAAGCGGGAGCTAGCTACTTTTATGGAGCGTTAACAACTCTGCTAATACTTATATAAAATGTGATTGCGTTTATCCCGCTTAATCCGGCTTTTTTATTATAATTGTTGAAAATCCTTCAAAACTCACTTTAAGAATATGACAGGTCTACTGGTGTGGTGTGTCTAATGCATTAATTAAAAATATAGATAAATTACTTCCTTTATCCTAATTTATGTATATACCATTTATTACTAATATCTTTTGTAAAAAAACATTTTTACTTGATACAAATTTCTAATAAGATTTTTCACCTTCCAATACATCCACCAATAATTACGAATATAATGAAAATAGTTCGCCACGTACAATTCATAACGCCGAAATTTTCAATTCAAATACTAATAAATTACCCAATGATAATTCGGTTAAAACATTCTCATCTCCAGACCCCCTTAAGCCAGAACAATATTGCTCCACCTTGCCTCCCATGATGCAAGTGTTGAATTCTAAAGTCTCTGCTACACCGCCAGTCGTATATGTCCCTGTTATGAACAAACAAGGGATACTTAAAAATAGTAAAAAGTATATATTCATTGAAACACAGGCTTTGAATCGAACCACGAAACCGGAACGAAGTGTTATAATTTTCTGAAACATAACCGAAGCGTTATAAAGAAAATAATATTAAAAAAGCGAACCGAACTGTTATAAATATCTTGAACCGGTTTAAATCGAGTCTTAACGGTTTTTAAAAATAATTAATTTTAAATTGTTAATATGGTTAATGATTAATTTTTTTTTAAATCAAATTTATAAAACCGGAAAGAACCGTTTAAATTCGAAACCGAGCCGAACCGATATGAGATTCTTCAAAAAAAACCGAAATGGAACAAATCCTTTATAAAATTTTAAATTAAAAACCGAAACGAACTAAACGGCCGTATTTAAAGGTTCGAAGCTCTGCAGAAACTTGATCAATATTTATATTTCATATAAATACAAATAATATGATTTTGATGTTTAAATTCCCAAATTTTAGAATTTCTTTGTTGAAGAAAGATCCAATGTTATCAAATAATTTATAAGTAGCTATATAAACGTTACTTTAATAAATAACGCACCGTACTATTTATAAGGAAATGAATTGTATAAATAAAGATGAAAATTTAATAAATAATAATATCAGAGACCTATAGAGGTGCCCATTTTCAGACCCGGCTTGATTTTGAATTATTTATTTTTAATCATTCTAAATTATTTTTGGTTGTATTTTATTTAAAATATTTTCAAAAAGAAATCAAAAATATGAGGAAGCCAATTATTTTAAGGATCCATGATGTGATTTTTTCTTCCTTTTAATTGATATAAAATTACTCATACCTGCCCGAACTTTGATACGGGCTTTTGCAGATCTTTAAAATATGGATAGGTTAGGACTCCTTCATAACATCTGCCAAAAATTGATTTTTATATAATAGAATTTAAATTTCATAATTTTTAATAGCAGGATTGGTTCAGTAGAAAGAAATTTGTTTTTTACCTCAAAAGTCTCAGGTTCGAACTTGGGTAATTTTTTTCAAGATTTTGGGCGCTGAAATAAATATAGTGTTAGATGCAACTCCTAAATAAAATCAAACCGATAAATTATGATTGAATAAAAAAAAGTGATGAAGGGCCTGATCCCATCTAAACAATATGTAAAAAAATGGGGTTAGCAAACTATTTTATAGGCAAATACTTACCATTATGTTTGCAGAGACTAAAGTATTTGCCATAAATATACAAATTTATATTTTTTAAATCAAGATTCTAACACCAAAATTTCTACGTCGACAATCCATCATCGAACTTCCTCCAATCCGACCCGCGATAAATCCATCTATTCCTCCTCAAAATCTCACGGATCTCCTTCCATTAGTTGTAAATCAGATAACACTGAAATAGACCAAAATACTAATAACAATAATAATAAACTTAAAAAGCAAGTCATGTTTTCTGATGGGGTCCGGCCTGGCGGAGACTTATCTCTCCTAGGGGATAATATGGTCAAAGCTTCCCCGTCTTCTACCACCAAAACGAAAATGAAATATGGCAAGAGACCTAAAAGTTTAAATTTACCTAGATATATATATACATAATAGAGTTCGACGACAATATCCTCCTTATAAGGTGACCACACAACGCCTCTTCAATGGCCATATTAAATTTTTATCGCTTTAATGAATAGCTTTATGAGCGATTTAGATAATATGGGGCTGGCAATGATGGACCTTTCACTATTATAAGGTTGGATGGTCACTACGCCTCACGGTCTCACTGAATTTGTATTTTGAAATTTGCAAATTATAAATTATTGTATTTTAATACTATGTTGCTTTTTTTCCTTTTTTTAATAAAAGTATACTTTATTAACCTATAATAATGATAAGTTTTCATTTGAGACTATTTTTTTTAGAAAAATATGATGTCATGATAATGACAAATAGAATAGGTAACTTCCTCAAGACGCTTTTCTTTCTATTTCTTTTAAAGGAATTTGAGGAAAACGTTTACTTCCATTTTCTATAAAAAAATGTCATGCTTAGTTATTTTTAATTTCTTACACTTTGGTCAAAATCATTATCATAAATGCACTGATATCCATATCGGGTATCGTTGGTATTGGCTGTTTTTTTTATTTTTCATTATTCAACTCCTTAAAGATTATTTAAATAATTTTTACAATTAAAAACATTTTTTTTAAAATTTGGCATGTATATTGGTAAAATATGATTATTATTGGGTATTTTTCTTTCAGTGATTTCTTTTTCTATAATTATCGTTGCAAGATATCAGCCCGATATCCTGTTGTAGGCCTATTACGAATATGTAATTCAATTTCTTTTGAATGATTAGAATAATTTACTATTCGTATCCATATAAAAACTATTCATATAATAGTAGAATACGATATTCTTATTCGATTGGTATAAATATGAATAGTAAATAGTTCAATTTGTTCAAAAGAACCAAATATGAATTATTCATTTTTGAATAGGCCTACCTGGCGGTGTCTGAATCGGTATTGACTAAAGACAATTGGATCTATCTTTGATTATTTTAATTGGAAAATAAAATGGTATATATAAATCTAGTATGTTATTAGGAATATTTATAATTATATATTCATTTTTAAAAAAAGAAACACAAAACTTATTAAAAATAATTTAATATATGATGTTTAAAGTAATATTTATTATCTTTATATGGTAATGAGATGGTACTATTAAAATTAAAACTATGCTATTTTATTTTTTAGTTTTATTTAAATTATTAATATTATAATGGGCTAAATACGATTTTAATAAAATTTAATAAGGACCAAAAGTAGAAAAAACAATTTTTTGTTTTTTATTTCAAAAATTTGTTCATATTTTGCTTTGAAATTTTTAATAGGCTTCATAAGTATAATATTAATGCTTATCAGCATTTTTATCTACACCTAAACTTTTATTTGAGACCTATAACTTTTTACGGAAATTTTTATTCATTGTTCATATTATTTATAAAAATCAAAGTGCATCCTATAAAACCAAATAATTTATCAAAAAAATATGATAAAGCAACTATCTATAACTTACTGCAATTTAACAATGCATGATGATGGATCTTTTATATCTTCATTCTCCGTATCAAAAATATTTTTAAAAAAGCAATTAGTATAACTAGCTACAATTTTAATTATGTATGAATATGAATTTTATATATTTTTACTGTCCATTTAAATATATATAAGAACTGAACTAATAAAATGCAACAAAGACACATGCCTCTCCCCCTAATACACCCTACATAAAAAATTACGCATTGTCACCCATCATTTTTTCTTACTCAATCTCATTTGCGAGAATTAGTATGGATATAGGTAGTGATCTATCTGTACATTTATGGACTGGTTCTATCGAGTTGCCGTTTTGTCTTTCTTTCGTATGGTTGAATGGTGACCTCATAATGCTCCCACTCGGATTTTCTTCAATGCACGTAAATTGTTGATAACATATCATCTTGCTCTGTATGGTTGTGTCGTTCACATTATTATTTATTGATGGTTTCTTATTGCGCGACAACAATTTTTGTAATTGTTGGGGACAATTTTTCTTTATATATGGTCGTGTTTTTGTTGTATTGTAATTGGCTCAGTTCTTATATATAAATTAAATGGACAATGAAAATATAAAAATCGCCATGCATTTTTAAATTGGAGTTAGTCATAAATAGTTTTTTTTTGGTTTTATAGAAAGACGCTTTGATTTTTTATAAAAATTTTCATCATTTTTTCTCACTAAAGGAATAGTAAGAAACATTTTACCCCTAAAATAAATTTGTTGTAAAACTCAAAATTTTAGAAATTTTATGCACCCAAAATTTTAACTAATTTTTCCAAGTGTCATAAATTAATATTAAAATTTTTTATTAACGTTTAATTAAAATTTTTTTATAAATCCAAATATTGAATCATAAATATTGCATTAATATGATATGATTAAATGTTATACAATTTTTTTTTTATTATCAAGCACTAGTTGTAAGAAAATATCTAACAATAATAGTTAGTCATGTAAAAAAGTATTATTTTAAAAAAAATAAAGTTACAAAAGAATTACTTTTAAAGAATTTTCAGGTAAGATGTGAGCATAAATCTCTCCTTAAATTTTTTAAAATTTGATATAAATACACTTTCTGGAATATTAAATTTAATTCCACCATTGTTCATCTAGGAAGCTTCCTTGATTAGGTAGAACAAGATGAACCTAAGTAAACATATTGGTAAAATGACATACATCAAAAAATTAATTACATTCAGGACAAATAATCAAAATATATTTTAAAAAAATTGAATAGTCATTACGATTTTGCTTCATGAGCAAATAAAAAAAATAATAAGATAAATTATTTATATATTTAGTATCAGACAATGGTATTTATGTAAAAATTAAAATATATCGGCTGATAATTGAATATCGATGTCGGCACATCTCTCATTATAAGAAGCTGTTTTGAGAAATGCTTTTTTGGATATAGGGAGGATATAGTCGGAATACTTAGATAATTACGTACAATGGTTAAAAGATTTAGCTTACACCTATTTTCATACTCTTTGGTATTTTCTAGGGTTGGCAAAATTTGTGATTTTATGAAAAAATCAAAAAAATCGATTTTTAAAATTAAATACCAAATACTAATATTTCAATTTACAGATTTAGATTAAAAAATATCTTACATCACAACTTTTTTTTAGTAAAAAAATTAATACTTAAGGAGATCTGGTCAGGAAATTATTGAAAAAATATATATTGATGTCATGAGCTAATTTGATACTTTACCAATTAAAAAGCCGACTGTCAAATCAAAAATTCGTAGATATGTGCAAACATTGTTTAGGAAATCTAGTTTACTTTTAATTCAGTAGAACCGATTTTACTCCTGTGTTTTTTTAGATATTATGAACTATATATGAATCGATAACTATAACTATACTCTATAAAAAGTTGCCTTATAAATATTTATAAAATATTAACATATTTTTCAAATTTTATTTTTTGCAAAAGTTGAAATTTTGCTTAACAAACCCCAATAGCGGGGTTAGACAAACTACTGCAAGGGGCTTCCTAAACCATTAGTTTTTTAGATCATAATGAATTGAAAAGCTATATTTTTTATTGATACGTATAGAATAATTTTATTATTTATTGTTCAGAATATTATAATCTTTTAAATTGAAGCTAATTATATATAAATATTGAAACTTAATTTTGATTAAACATTTTGCATATAAAAATAAGGAGCTTAAGGAGAGACTATGATTTCTTAGCATAAATCCTAAATATAAACAGCCATCAAATTGTCTTTTCAAGATTTAGAATTTTTTTTATTATTAACTGCCATAAATGACGTGTATGGCTTAGCAAACCCCGCTAGCTCTAAATTGACAAATCATGATTGAAATAATATCTAAACAAAATAAATAGTCATGACTCAAATATAAAAGAGGTTAAAACTTTGCTATAAAATTTAATTTATATAAATGATTATATAACTTAAAATTAAAATTCTGTCATGTAAAAATCTTTTGAATTACCTCATAAAATTTAATAATTAATTATTTCAAAAGATTTTTTGCCTATTTATGCATAGGATAAAATTTAAACCTTCTAGTCTATTAAATTTAAAATGAGAGTGATTTGCCAAACCCCGTGGTTTACCTAAACCCAGTCTCCCCTACGTGAAAAGTTGCAATTCACTATCAAAGTTAGGCATAAAAATTGATCTTTTAATTATAACATCTAGATTTTGGAAGAAATAATGATAATTCTCTTGTAAAATTTAAAAAAACATAATATAATTTTTTTATTTGTATTTTTTATTATTCTAATTATAATGATAAAATATTTTTATGATAAAAGATTATGGTAAAAGCTAAATATAGTAAAAATAAATTTAAAAAAACTCATGTTTCTGATATTTTTACTAAATTTTATAAGTCCTTATTTTTCTGGACTGCAAACCCTGAACTAGAACCTGGTTCAGAGATATTTAACTGAACCAGAACCTTTTTGTTGTAGAATTAGCTGAACTTTTCTAGTAATAGTTGTTGTTTTATTGGTGTTACATTTATCGTATCATATCCACTGACTCCATCAATTGTTAATTATACAAATCTTGGGTTCATTATAGTAGGGAAGAGATTATAGGATAAAATAAATATATTTAGCGCCAGACTAGACTATGGCCTGACGTTTTTTTTACCACCAAGCCACTGGATTACTTTTAGCGAAAAAATTGATTGTAGAACTACTTTTTTTCATATACATTAATGATAATATAAATTTAAATATGGATACTTGTTTAGTTTTATTAATTATGTTCATATATTATGAATGTTTAGAGCGCCATTATTTTAACACCCGCACTTGTCCTAGTTTACGATTTCATACAAATATATTCCAATTTACAATCTATTTAATTTGCAAATATTTACCATTTTCGTTGTGCTTTCTATTTTGATCACTTAGACTGATTTCAACTATTCAATTTATGTTCATACTGTTATTATTAATTTATATAGGATTAAAATTTGAATAAGATATTAGAAATATTTAATTCATTTGGTCAAAATGTTCTCTTTTACCACGAGGATGATATTAACCCCTTTATAATGAACAAATTTTGGATAACTAATTTCAAATTGGACAATTGAATGTCACCATATATTCTAAATTTGTTTTTTAAGCATACATTTTCATAAACAAAAACTAAATCAACATTTTGCATAAATTGCAAATTTAAACAAATTTCAATAATATTAGTAAATTTATTCAAATTAGATTCCTGCAAGTTTGGCCGAGCTTGGGCTTTAAATTTTCTAAAGAAATAAAATAGAAATTTCCCTTTTATTAAAATAAAATGATAATTAGGAGTTCTCTGGGATTTATAAGGCAATTAAAAGATTTTTATTTTATCTTCGAAAAATGCTTATTTTTTTTAATATAAAAATAAATAAATTTTTTGGGCCAGACTAAATATGAGTTTTTAATTGAATTTTTAGGGAAAAGAGTTTAACTGAGATCTCCCCCCTTCCTCAGAAAAAAATTCCCCCTACTTAAATAATATAACAAATTAAGGTATAGCACCCAAGAATATCAATTGACTAAAACACATGATATATGATAAATATACTAATAAATAATTAATTAATATACTGTATTCACAAAAAAACATTATTTAGTTGAAACTTTTATAAGGTAATCAATCATTAACCCAAGTGCGATTACTTTTTATTCAACATATCTAGGCGATTAATATATATATATGCACATTTTGATAAGGATTTATCAGTGATTGACCTAAAGAGGATCAAGAATCAAATGAAGATGTGTCGGTCATCTTATATAAAAAAAATGTAGGAGATGATATAAAAATCTCTGTAAGATATCGATCTTAGATTTCAATAAATATTAAGGTGACATGATTTATGTTTAAAAGCAAACGATTTATTATTTAAAAAAACATGTTATGGATGGAAGGCTATCTGTTATTATAAAGGGGAAAAAAGATCATGTTCGGTAATTTCCACTTATTTCATGGATTTTTATATCGATATTAAATTAACTTTTCCACAATATTTCTCGTTTGCCTTAGATGACGCTAACGTAAACAATGATTCCACTTTCCTAATTTTACCCGCGATTCATCATATTCCGCCTCCCATTTTACGCTTTAATTCTGATACTTCCGATCTTTTGAATATCTACAGTCGAGGTATCATTCCGACTAATTCGTCAACATCTTCCGATGATCTGCCATCTTCTATAACCCTTTCGATTTGCTCGAATCTAAAATTATTGGCCAAAATAAACGATCGTAAGATAATGATTTTTAGTTCATAAAAAAATATACAAACCTAAAATTTATCAATTAACTATTGTAAAAAACACATGAAAAATTATTTAAAAATTCATTCGTTTCTTATTTTTTTCGACTTGAAAACTACACCAATATTTAATGATTTAGCAAAATATACAAATCAGAATAATTTTGAGTGAGGATTTTTTACCCTCGAAATCGATTTTAGAACCCAGGCCGGGCTAAGATATAGAATTTGGGCTGGAAAATGGCTACCTCCATAGGTCTATGGTATATACTATAGTAGTTATAGGTGAAGAGTAAAACTTCTAATTTGGAAACTCTTAATTTTGAAAAAATTACTAGAATGTGCTTTAATCAAATCAGGCAATTAGATCACTTTAAAATGTATGTAAAATTTTATTAAACTAAATTATATATTATAGTGAGTGACACATAATGGTACTTAGACTGGAAACATTTTTTAAAAATAAGTTCGAGTTTCATTTATTTATAAAAAATTATTGCACGGGAATTCAAAATGGCTTGCCACCAGTTGATCTGTATTTTCGATACTTCAGAGTGCATTTTAATAAATTTATCGTTAGTCCGCGTAAGTAATTAAAACATATATCATTAATTTAACCATTGGTTCGTCATTACTAACATTTGAATATTACTATCTATAAAATCCGCAGTATCTTGTTGCCAACCCGGGACAGAGGATTATTTAATCCTTGCCACGCGCGGGATGTGTAACGTTGCGCAGCAAGAAATAATAGCCGTGTTTCCAATTACTCCTCTCCGAAATTATGCTCACGACGAGCAGACTATTTATAACGACAAATGTAACATGGACGTTTTGGAGAACGTTAAGTATCTGATTTCGGATTTCGGGTTCCAAATGTACAATATTTATGTCAACGCTATAAAGGGTAAATATATCTACACAATCCTATGTTTATTTAAAAGGCTAACAATTTAAAATGGCGCAGCTTATTTTTTATAGGTTTACACGTTAAATTGAGAAAATTGAATTCACTATTTCTTATAATAATTTTACTAAAGCAATCATAAGTATATGTATATTTTTTTTAAATAGGAAAAGGAGTTAACACCCTGGATTTTGTGCCTTTCATTAAATTTTCGCCCAAACAAACGCCTACACAATCTTCCTCGAAAAGTTCCGAAATTTCGAATAATTATACAAAATTAAAACTTTCGGATAATTCTTCTCATTCTGGTTTACTATTTTTCGAACCAACTAAATGTCACTGTCTATCGAACCTACCATTTAAAACCAATCATTTTTGTGATAATAAAAATTATAACAATAATGTTAGCCCTTGTTTAATCGCTCTACTTATTCATAAATGGGAAACACCCTGGGCCAAGCTATTGCCATTGCGCCTATTGTTTAGACTAGGATTCGAATATAAAAGTAAATTGACTCGTTTGAAATTTTTTTATATGGAGTAATATTTCATATATATTTTTTAAAATTAATACATAGCTTATCCTTATCCGCTCATATCGATTCTCGATAGAAAATCGACTTTCTTCGAAATCAATCACACCATTATCAACTTGTTAGCTGTAAGAAAAATAAACGACATGTTTTGTGAAATTTTAAACCTTACATTATTGCACTTTTAAATTCTCTACTTTATAGAACATTAATATAATTAATTTTTTAATTATTTATGATTTGCAGGATTGCCGAAATTTCAAATATACGCTGAGAAGAATTCCCGGTTTATTCATTTCGCTTTCCGATAAAACTGTGACTATCACCCTTTCAAAGATTAATTTCAAAGAAGTAAGAATAGAATATATATATATTTTTAAAAATATATAATTTACATTATACTAAATATTAAAGCAAAATTTTAAAATACATATTTCCATTATTCAACTATAAGAGATTCAATAAAATTTGAAATAATTTATATCCCTCGCAAATTATAAACTTAAACAAATCTGCGAAATATTATGATAAATAAAAGAGATATAAAAACTGATGCCCAAAGACTATTTAAAAAAGCTGTTTGTTTAGATATATCGTAACATTACAATAATCCTCATCTATTCATTTGTCAACCCCCTTCAAATTTTTCCTGATATATTCAAAATTTATAAATCAAAAACTAAAAATTAACCAATTAAAAGCATGTAGACCAATATTTATAAATTATATGTAGATGATAGGGTTTGAAAATTGATAGCTGCTAACTTGAAAGATTGAATATAATATAATCGTTATAATGTTAAAAGCTAGGCATTCAAAAAAGATGTGAACAGGGAGCACTTCCTAATTTGGATCATTTAGATGTGATTTTCAGTTGATATAATAAAAATACAAATGGATAATTCGAAAATAACTTTATTTAAATAGAAATTCACCCTATTGGAATTTGAATATAAAATAATCATATTTTTATATGTAAAGCATTCATCAACACATAATAAACTATTTGAACTTCATACGGAACATTTGGATGAGATTCTTAGTTGTTATAATGAAAATTAAATGTATTCTCATATAGTAGACCCATATATTATGTTAGATAGGAGTTTTTTAATTCAGATACTTGTTTAATTTTTAATTATTTAATCCAATTAAAAAAAATCCTTTACTTGAACATTCTTTGAGTTGAGCGATTATCTTTTTTTTAAAATCTCATATTTATTATCAGTAGAAATTAATTCTTTTATATCACTTTAAATTTTCTATCTTTTCCCATTTAACTATAGTTTATAAATGTTTTGTGAAAGGTATTTAACGTAGCAAACGAAATGAGCAGCGATCACGTGCTGGCTTTTGCCGGAAATTTTGATTCCTCCGTTCACGCCCATCTTCTTTGTTTACAAAACGAATCCGATAGTCACTATAGAAAAGATTGGTTTGTCAATCCTTATAAAGAGAACGAAGGTAGACAAAATCATCGTTTTGAATTTCGGGAATTTTTATTTCTTGCCAAAAAATTTTCATGAAAATTTAAAAAAGATGATTATAATATTGTGGATAGAATTAAATGTTTTAGTGAAAGTGAACTATCTGAGATTTTCGAAAAAAGGCGAAGACTATAATAATTTTATAATTATGCTTTTCTTCGTTGTCTCTAAAAAATTAGAGCGAAATACATAATATATTTCTCAATAGATTCAATATAAAATATAATCGTTTCAAAATTCGATTAAAAAATTTTGGATTTTTTTTGTTAAATCAAATCATTATCACAAAAAAAAGGAAACACCACAACTGCCGCTACCTTTGTAGTATTCAACGGATCTCTTAAAAAATCATTTCAAACACATCCTGAACATAAAGAAAATTGTGTTAGAATCAGTCTGGTTGAAGATGGGATAATTGTTCATGTTACACCTCAGGATCTGAGTCTTATAACAAATGCATTGAAGGATATGAAAGAGATAACTCTTGGGTAATATATTTCACCTTAAATTGAATCTATTATTTAGTTTTGTATAAGTTTTTATTAATTATCAAAATTATTTTTTATTCATATAAAATTTATTGTTGATATAATATATTTATATCATTTAATAACAAATAAGTGAATCATCCGCAATTAGAACCTTATTTCCAATATCCACTATAAATTCGGATAAGAATAGGACAATTTCCCAAGAGGAAATTGGTACTAATAAAAAAGAGTTACCCCTCCTAAGTCAAATTTCAACTAATGACCATAACAACTATAATGATAATTCGATTGGAAATGACCTTTGGTATTTTGACGAGGACTATTATGTCGAAAATCATAGTTTATTGAGCGAACCACTGACTCTTTATAATAGTGTCAACAAGGATTTGATCGATGAAAATGAGGAAAGTTCTATTATACAGAGTTCTAATGACAATGTTATTAACCCAAAATTGGAAGACGTTAAAGATCAACAAATTACAAATATTAATAATGCAGAGAATGGTGTCGAATATAAAGATAAATTGATTATTAGATGGGAGTCAGAAAAACAGAAAGTCCAAGGATTAATAAAGTAATTATTTCGATTATAAGCCTTCAAGCTAGAGATCTTAATTTTTTTAAATTTAATAAAGTTTTATACTATTTTTAAAAGCATTTGAGTAAAAGTTTTAATATTAATTCTCTTACTAAAAGAAAAATTATTATAATTGTTATTTCTTCTTGCAATGGAATTGGTTATTTAATTTGATTCATTTTCGCTATTCCATTAAAGGATAAAAAGTTTGATTGATGACATGGAATTACAAAACGTCAACTCTTTTAAACCCAGGGGTTATTTTGTCGATTATATCAAAAAGCATTTATACATACGCTTGGTTGAAATATATTATATCAAAACAGATGCCATCTTATTAGCCAAGTATATTTTTTAGTGTTTAAAATCATAAATAAATTATATAGGCAATATTGTGGATTCACTATTAAAAATTACTAACTATTAGGTTTTTTTAAAGTATGAAATTTTCAGTTTTCAAATATTTTTTAGAAAATAATCGTTTTTGTTTTCCTAGAAATGACTGTTTAGATGCAGATAAATTGGCTCAAGATCTGTCAAAGGCCTTTTGCCACTGTATCGTGAATAGATTAGCCTTGTTGGTAACCGAAGATATTTATCAAATCAATTTAAGAATAACTGTTGATTCCAATAAAGTACAATGTTAAAATTTGATAATAAACTTTTACTATTTTTGTTTAGGTTGGATATGAACTAAGTCCATTAGGCAAAAAATATCAACCTTATCTCACCGAAATTGATGATTATTTGATACCTATCATACATTCTGCTCTTAATTACACTAACGATATAGGATCTCTCATAATCGAATTAGTTTTGCATATTCTCAAGATATAATTTCAAAATTAAAACATTTTGACATGGTTTTATTGATTATTTGTTCCATGGCACTTCAATTGCAAACCTGCATAATTATTTTCATATAAGATTATCATAATAAATCAAAAAAAATTTTAATTTAATTTATTTATATTATTTTTTCTATTGTTTTTTTTGAAAATTTATATAATGTTATTCTATTTTTTTAAATATTTATATTGAATGAAAAAAAATAGTTTGGATACTTTTAATAAAATTATTTTATGAATATTATTTTTTACAGACTATTAAAATTGATATCTAATTAAGGGTGTAAAAAATCACGGTTAATCCATTTTATTCCTATTGCTCGGTTGCCCACTCTTAAATAACCTGCATGACCCTTAACGATTATGATCCTAGGGCAGGGTTATTAAAAAGCCCGATTCGAATCGATTTTTAAAAAGTCCCGATTACGATTTTAGCCAAAATAATATTATATAAGCCTGGAGATTTTGCTCATAGGTAGCAGGAAGATGTTCAAACTGTCCAGACCATATCAATCGATTGCTACTTTCAGTTTTACTAGTCCTTTCCTTAATTCTAAACAAGCCTGTATTTTATTCTGTAAATGCAGCACATCCCGCTGATCATTATCATCTCCCCTATTTCTTGTTTTACTTTTTTTTTATCATATATCAGTAACTCACCAGACCTGTATATTTATGGAAAACATCTCTTGTAAAAAGTGTATCTCATATGAATATGCAATTTCTCGCATAATCATGAAAAAATTAAGACATTCTAGGCTGTCATGTAGTAAACTATTTAATTGAGTTATGCTTGGCGCTTTCAGCGGCCATCCTAGGTCGTCCACATTGCCTTATTTATATTATAAGTCTATGCCTACAATCATGCATATGTTTTTCCATCCATATTAAATAATTTATAATCCAATATGGTTAGATTGTAATCTGGACTAAAAAAATAAAAGGATTTTATGTATCCTTTTGAAATTTTAATCTATGTAGTAATTTAGATACAAATAAATACTATTATTTAAAACATAAGCATTTATGATATATCCAATCGTTACAATGGAATCGAGCAGAACAGGTCTGTCAGTAATACAAGTTCTTTAGCTGTTTTCATCATTTCCTTTACTATCACTATTCAACTGGACTCACTAATTTACAAGGTATTTTTTAAAGAATAACATCTGTATTTTACATTATTTTTGCAATTCATTTCTTTTTTAGAAAATTGAGGATTTTTTTACGGCTAATTTCCAAAACTTTTGGCCCACTCACTTCTGACGTAGTAAGGAATGTTAACAGATATTATCATCTCGAAGCCTTTCTACCACGGTTTTATAAGGTCAATATAATTTTCAATAGGGATTCCAATTCAGAGTATTTGTAATATAATCATCCAATATTTAAGCAATATGACAATCCTAAAAAAAGGCAGGCCAAAATGGAGGTTAGAATCAAAATGTCACCTTATATTATATGGATAAAATAAGTTGTTATGAAGAGTTTAAGTAATTTTAATATTTAGGATTAAGCTCAAGTGCCCAAAATTTATATAATATCGAATTGACATAAAACTTATTCAATGTATCTTGCTGTATGGACCTTCATCTTGGTTGCAGTCGGGTAGTAAATACTAAATGGTATATGAGAATATAATAAATTTCAGTTTGTTAAATTGTTTATGCATAGCAGCTTTTTGATGGGCTTAATGTATGTTGTTATTGACAAGTAGGTCGGTAAATTGCAAACTTACCTGCATGAGCCACTTTTAAAATTAAAAGTGAAATTTCATTATGGTGAATCACTGTTGGCTAATAATTATTTAACTATTTAGTCAATACTGTCCGAGTGAATAGCTGCGATATTGTTACTAAGAGAAATATTATTCAAAATAATTTAAGTTATTAATGTGTATAGGATCTTGGAATAAAGATAATCCAAAGAAAAAATTGTTTTTAAACATTTAGTCTCGGCAGATCCATTTTCCACTGACTCTAAAAGATCTTAAACAAAATGAAATGTGTAATTGGGAAACTATCTTTTTTTTTAATATTTTACAGGTCAATATTAATTTTTTTTAGCATGTTTTATTGAAAATGTATAGATTATAAGCATAATTAAACAAATATGATTTAATTTCAACTAATTTGTGATTTCTCTACATGTTTAATTTGAAAGATATAGACTATAAACAATATTTAAGCAAATATGATATTGTTTTATAATCGCTAAATGTCTCCTATGAACAAATGCATGAGGGACATCAGATAAATTGGCTTTATCCGCTTATCTCTCTGTGTATATATGACTTATAAAATTGTTTACTTGCATTAGATCATTCAAAAACCCATCATTATCGAGAAGAGTAAGTCTCTTATCTCGATCAGTAAATATATCAAGAATTGTCATTTCCTGTAGAATATCCTTATTTTTTAACAAGCTAATTATCATCAAAACTATACCTGCCCAACGAGTTTGGCTAAACTTTAGTGCGAAGGTGTAGCCAGAGGGGGGAAAAAGGTATATTCCTCCCCCCCTTCGGGAATTTATCACTTTATGTGAATATCATTTTAAGCTAATAAAAAATATCCCCTTAGTCCTCCCCCCCCACTCCCTGACTCCCAAAAATGTATGCTTAGATCTTAAACAATAATTTGAAAGAAAGAATGTAAAAGTGGATATCTTTTTAAACTAAAACTATTCATCATAATTTATACATTTTTGGATAAAAGCATTTATATATATAAAAAAGTGAACTAAAATTTTTTAAAGAAATGGAATATAAGTCAAAGATAAGTCTGAAGACAAAATGAAATGTATTATAATTATTAATAATAGACCCATAAAATTACTAAATAATATAATATATCAAATATAATTTTTTATAAAGTGAGTAATTTTAATTTATTTATTTTAGTAAAAGTAAAATATAATTATAAAACTATTGATAAAATTACATAAATTAAATAAAAAAATAAAGCACAATACAAACAGTGGAATATTATATGTCGTAGATTTACAGTATATCTAATTTTATCATATGACAATCAAATAATTTTTACCAATATAGCGAATTATATATTTTACTAATTTTATAAATTATCATATGACAATCAATAATTTTTACCAATATAGCGAATTATATATTTTACAGAAAACTATAAAATATTGATAAGGATATCAGAAAATATCTTTTAAATACATTGTGGGATGAATAATATGAAGATTAATTTTTTATCATTTTTTATTTAAAATAAATAGATGATGTTAAATAATTGAATGCAAATTGTTGCTATATTTATTATTAAGAGCATTGATTAGTAAAATTTGTTAAAATATAAAATGTAATATATTCTCTAACTGTCAAATATGTCTGTAAAAGTGGAATTTTACTTAGTATTTTGTAACCAATTCTATATAATAGAATATCAACTATATGTCTACTTACTTTTTATAAATAAATTTCTTATACTTGTTTGTAGTGTTGTTAAACGGCTCATTTTGAGCCTATTTTTTAAAACGGCTAACTCAATATTTTAGCCAGGAAAATATTGCCCAAGCCTCGAGATTTCGATAACATATGCCTAGACCTTTGTTCCTTCTATGAGCAAAATCTTAAGGCTTGCGTAATATTTTTCTGGACGAAATATTTAGTTAGCCGTTTTTAAAAATCGGCTCAAAACGAACCATTTAACAACACTACTTGTTTGGAATAAATTATTACCATGCTTTTATTATATTAATGTTAATGTATATACAAGTAATGTTATATATATAAACTAATAAAAATATATTTCATATTTGTTCCAGGCTTATTTTTTTAATTAAAATTAACCTCCTATCTTGTAAAAATATTTTATGGCTATATATAAGCTAAGGTAACCTGGCTGAAGGCCGGGTAAAAGCGGACTGAAGGCACGCCCCAAATGGGGTCTGGGTGCGAAGCCCCCAGTAATTTTTTAATTCCCCCCCCTTCCCCCTTTAAGAAAATCCTGGCTACGCCTATGCTTTAGGGAAACAATTTTCTTATAATTTCTTAGAAGTTGTTCCTTTTCTAAGTGATAAATTGTTAGATTTTACTATTTGATGATATTTTTAGTTTTTGTGACTAAAATTTCAATCGATAATATCTTATTTGCCATATCCTTTAGAAGTAGATTTAATCCATGAGTGGCGCATCCAATGCATTCAATAGTTAATAATAGGGATGTACCGATATTTTATATCTGATCGGGCCTATATTTCACCCATTTTAAAATATCGGTTATCGACAAATATTATAATATTTTCCAATCCGATAAAAAATGGCGTATTTTAACAAAAATAAAATATTATAAAATTTAAAAAAAGTTATATATAAAAAACCATTTATTTTTATCAGGAGTGCTACATTTTTTCAAAAAAATCTGGAGCGCCCTTCCTTTTTAAAAATGAGGAGCGGGAGCTAGCTCCTTTTAGGGCTGGAGTGGAGGAGTGCCGCTCCACCGCTCCTTTAAATTTAAGGTATAAATTAAATTATTTTTTAAATATTAATAAAGTTTTTTAATTAAAATTCAATAAAAAATGAAATTTTATTTTATTTAAATTTATCCATTAATAAATGTTGAACCGAGTTTTATACTGGTTTTTCATCTAATCATTTCAAATATTAAACATCAAGTTTTTCATTTTCATATTGAAAATTTTTTGGAAAACCTTGTAAGTCATATTAATATTCATTTTATGGATATATAATAAAAAACAGTTTTAGATATTATGGATTTAGAGATCATAGAAGAAGAAATCGAATTTCCATTTCTATCATACAAAAAATATTTTAAACTTCTAAAAGATGTTGATCCAAATGATCAAACAAATTTAAGGGCAAAATGCCTTGTGTTAAAGTAAAAGTATTTCATTTTCAAAAGTGAGCAGCTTCAATCTAAAAAAGCATTTAAAAGTAAAAAACCTTTCTTATACAAAATGATAACTATTTTTATTTTGGAATAATTTTTTTAAAATGGTTATAATTATTTTTGGGCAATTCATTATAGTTGATCCTGGGTTGTTAAATATGATGCTTTCCTAAATATATTTTAATATTTATTTTAATTTTCTCATTAC